TATATATATATATATATATATATATATATATATATATATATTAAAAAAATAAATAGCAAGGAGTACGTACCGGGAACCAGGTGCTACACATTTCCTCTTTATTCTAGTTATGGATTGGTTACATGTTGCAATTAAGGATGTTGTTGTTGCGAACTTATGTTTGGGAGTTAAAATTGATAGATATTAGCTTCTTATTTTTCACTTTTATATGCATGTGATGTTATCATCTTGGGAGAATGGGGTAAGGATATTGTTGTTATCATGATTAGTATTTAACATTGCTTTTATTTGGTTTCAGGTCTAAATATAAACCTTCAAAAATCAAATTTACTCTGGATTGGTGTTTGTTGGGAAGAGGTTATCGGTTTTGCTAGGCTAGTTGGTTATCGACCTAATAAACTTCCTTTTTTGTATCTTGGTCTCCCTATCGGTTCAAACATGTCTAGGGATGTGGGGTGGAAACTATTACAAGAAAAGCTTCATAAAAAATATTTAAGTGGAAAGCATCTACTTTATCTGTTGGTGGGAGGTCTATGTTGGTTAAATCAATTTTAGGCTCGATGGGTTTGTATTATATGTCAGTTTTCTTGATTCCTGTTAAAGTTGCAAAAGAGTTTGAATCTATACGAGCGAATTTCTTTTAGGGTTGTAATAAAGATAAAAGAAAGATGGTTTGGGTGAAATGAGATTTAATTCTTGTTAGAAAACACATTGATGGTTTGGATATTGGTAGTCTAACGTCTTTTAATCTTTCTTTGTTACAAAAATGGAGGTGGCGTTTTTTAAATAATAGTTCATTAATATTGGTTCACCTAATAAAAGTTATTTATAACAGTAGAGGTGGTTTATATCTTGCAGCTTCTGTTTTTCGTGGGGATGGTCCTTGATCTAAAATTATTGATCTGATTTCTAAATTAGAAGACAATGGGGGTGTTCATACCTTCGGTTTTAAAGAAAAAAGTGGGCAATGGTGCTTCGACTAAATTTTGGACTAGAGTGTGGACTGGAGATCAACTTTCTACCAAATTTTCAAGGTTGTTTGAGTTAGAAACCATAAAATATTGTGTTATTTCTAATCATTTGATAGGTTATGAGAGATGTTGATGTTGGTGTAGGCTCGTTAGACGATGAGAGGAAATTTTGCAATTCTCTAATATGTATGATATGGTGCAACTTGTCAAGTTAAATAACAAAAAGGATAAATGGTGGTGGGATTTTGGCAACTCTGGAACGTTTTTAGTTGGAGAAAGTAGAAAATTGATTGATGATAAAGTTCTTCGAGTTAATGATTCATAAACTCGTTGGAATTAGTTTATTCCCAGGAATCTAAATATTCTTATTTTGCGACTTTTGTTGGACAAAATTCCTAGTGCTTTGAACCTAGATATGAGATGTATAGATATTCTCTTGATATTTATGTTCGGTTTGTTTTTTGGAGACAAAACAGCTTAATTACTTGTTTGTTAGATGTGAAGTATCTGCAAGACTTGGAATGCAGAACAGCTTAATTACTTGTTTGTTAAATGTGAAGTATCTGCAAGACTTGGAATGCAGTTTTTAATTGGTTAGACGTGAAGACTTTCGGGTTTAATTCGGTGATAGACTTGTTTTTGTACAGTGATAATTTTCGATGTGGTGCAAAAACAAGTCTCTTATTGACACGTTCGTTTGTGTTACAGTAGTTATGGAAGTTTAGAACTTTTCTTTGGTATTCTAATAGGAATAGTATGTGTCATGTTCTATGGAAGCATATTCGAATATATATATATATATATATATATATACACACACACACACACACACATACATACGACAGTTGCATATGTGTATAAACGTGGGAAATTCACAAAATTCATTAAAAAAAATGCACATTTGCACCTATCAACACATTACCTTGTTATATATGATGAAATTGGATTCTCGACAGATGACAATTGATCTATCATGCATAGGGATGTTGTAAACAATGGGTTGTTGTTTTTTTTTTTTTTTTTGCTTATTTGTCTAGGGAGGTATACGATATAGCTAAGGTCTCGTTTGATAATTGCTGACTAAGAAAGTGTTAACTAAGAAATGTCTGTCTGGGTAAGAAATCTTAACTGAGTAAGAAACCATGTTGTTTGATTCTACGTCTGACTGAATGGCCTGATTAATAAAAAATGACAATTTTACCCTTTGCTCCAAAGGGTGATGTAAACTACACAAAAATCCTTAAAAATTTACAAAAAAAAGTTATAAAAAATCATTTTTTTTTAAAAGTTATAAATAAATTCATTGTTTTTCAACAATTCAAACAATTTATTCTTTAACCAAAATTGATACAGAGCAACAGTAAACATAAGAATAACACTTTGACCAAATTGCCCCTGCTCTATTTTTATTCCAGACCATTCTATGAGCATAGAATTTTGACCATATGTTTTGTAAAAAACAGATCCTCTCATCCATATCTTCAATAATCTAGTAATTTTTTAGTTTCTTGATCCAGAAAAACCAATTGAGAACCAACAGACCTGGCTTATACTTGCTAATCTTGAAATTAATCAAAAAAAAAGACCAAACTGCCCTTTTCTCAAAAAAAAAATTGAATTGGTAACCAAAAATCTTTATTCAATATGTCACTGTAAAGATCCCACCGAAATGAAAGAATAAGAAGAAATTAGAGGGTAGGATTCCAATTTCATAACAATAGCACATCTAATCATAGCTTATACATATTTCATAACAATACAACATGGCATGAATTATAGAGGGTTGTAATTAACAAACATAATGATAATCATAATCTGATCAAGTATTTACTTAATTCGATCATAAAAGTGTACAAACAAAAAGTGAATCATATATCAACATCCATCATGTGCAAGTCCATTTATCTTTGTATGGAATTATTTACTTATAAAACTGAAAGACGTACTAGAGCAATCCAGTGTCCTATTAAGCATAAATAATGTCATATGAACTTTTTTAAGTTCTCAAATCAGCTTATTTGCAATAAAAAACATGACTTGCTAAGAGCTATTTCGTATGATCTTGTCCAGCATATTATACAACCAAAAAAACATGACACTTGCTCATAGCTTATACATATTTCATAACAATACAGCAAAAGAGGATACAAATTTCATAACAATAGAGAAAAACAATTATGATTTCATAAAGAATTCATAATATTCTAACAAAAAAGTATTTTGATTTCATAAAGAACTTCAAAGCATAAATGATATCTGATTTTAACAATTATTAACAGAAAAGAAGAATAATATCTTACCTAATGACACCGAGATGGTGTCACATATGGAAGAGATGGAAGAAAAGTCTGGCGGAGGTACGATCGGCGGGATGGCAACGGTCCGACCGGCGACCTCTGTTTAGCGTTCAATTGGAGATACGATGTGGAGTTGTATGCGGCTGTGTTTTTAGGTCAGGGAACGATGGAAGAAAGAATAAATGTGGAGGGGTAGGATCGTTTAATGTCTCCAATCAGGGATTGTAAAGATACTGAGCGAGAAAGCAATTGAGCCAGTCAATCTTACCGAGAAAGCAACAATTCAAACACTTATGGTCTGACCGAGTCAGCCCAATTCGCGGACTTGACCCAGTCAGACCTTTATCAAACACATCCTAAGTGTAGTAAGGCCATGGGATATGGGGGCTTTTCTAGGCATCGAATCATATATGGCAAGGCTTGTATACGTGTGAATATCGTTCCATTTGGGCGTAATCATCTTGTAACATGGTGGTCTTCACGGATGCTTAGGAGGGCTTTGATTGGCTGTTGAATAAAGTAGGCATATTACAAGAAAAACGGGTGTACACCTTGTCTCTTTCCTTTTTGATTTAGAGTTAATTTTATATAACATCCGTTTCTTATATATTATTTACGTATTACCTCTTTTTTATATCATTTTTAATAAATAAAGGGTTTTTTTTGTCACTTGTCAATCTCTTATGAGTTTTGATACTTGTCATTTTGTAGTATTTTTAGAATAAATAATATTCACATGTTATTTTATGGTTTTAATTTCAAAATTTAAAATTAAAAAGTCACATAATACTTATATGCTTAAATATGTAAAATCTTTATTGTAATATATATTATAGTAAATTGCAATGAATAAATTTATTCCATCTTTATTATTTCAAAATTTTATTTTAAAAAATATTTAATATTTAATATTTTTTAATTAGCCCGTATAATATAGATATTTAACCCCTAATTTCCAATATATCCTTATTAATTATATTATATAACTTAGTTTTTTGGAAAATGTATAACAATATACAAAGCAAATTACATCATTAAATTTTTCTGTTTTTATGTTTTTTTTAATTTAAAAAAAATAAAATATATAAAATGAAATAGTAACCATTTCCAAAGGTGAAGTTTTATGTTTTCTTTAGTAATTTAACTTTGAAATTTTATGTTTTTTTTGTTTTTTTAAGTAAAGTGAAATATTTATTTAAGTGTATTAATTATGTTTTTTATTTAATCTAAATATCAAAATAATAATAAAAAATATGAACGATAAACGATATTGAATGATAACCATTTCTAAAAGCTAGTGAACATATAATAAAGATGATGTAGTATATAGGTGACATTACTTTTTTAGTTAACGTATAGTAACCATACCTCATGCCCTAATACACAGTTATGTGTCTGTAATCTTAATTTTATGTTTTGTTTTGATTTTGTCTTGATCGTTAGCGCAAGCACTTGTAAACAAGTCAAAGCAAAAACTACCATACCACAGTTCTCCAATGATTAAAGTATTAACATATATGTCAAAATTAGGAGAAAACAACAAGAAGAAACAGCATGCATGGTCTGAATGACAAAAAAAAGTATCCATAACACACAATGTCAATCTACTACCAAGGCCAAAATAAACAAAATGGAGAATAGAGGAGAGAGACTAATGGTATCGGTGGGTGTTATATAAGTGACAAGTTAGCATATGCAACAAAACATAACATAACATAACATATATATGAACTTAGGTTGACATCATGACTTGATCAATTGCCTGAAGTGCTTCTTTTGAAAAGAAACGCACATCAACATCTGGATCCTCCGACAACTCAACCAGACATGGCCTTACACTTTTCTCCACCACCTTAACAAAATCAAAAAAAACATGACATTCAATCCAACATAAGAAGAAATAAAATGGGTAAATTACACAAATGGTCCCTATGGTTTGTGATAATTTACATCTTTGGTCCCTAACTTATTTTTTGTTAACTCAAAAGGTTCCTACAGTTTATTTTTATTACGCGCTTAGTCTCTGTCTTACCTAAAAATGCTATTTTGCTCTTGATTTTTTAATTTATTTAAACAAGGTGGGGTAGGTAGGATAACGTAAGGCGAGGTGGAAGTGGGGTTGGAGGTTTGTTTATTTATTTATAAATTAAAAAACCAAGGGCAAAATAGTCTTCTTAGGCAAGACAAGGACCAAACGTGCAACAAAAAAAACAGTACGGAGTTAAAAAAAAAAATAAGTTAGGGACCAAACGTGCAAATTACCCCAAACCATAGTGACCATTCGTGCAATTCACTCAAAAAAAAAAAAGGAAAAGGTGGTGCTTACAGATTGGTCAAGAATAGGGATAAAAGACTGCAAGACCTTTGCAACATTAAACCTGATATTCGCCACTCTGTAAAAAGAAAAAGAAATTAGAGAGGTAGAGAGAGGGAGAGGGAGAGGGGTAAAAAGGTAATTCACCTGTCTTTGGCGAGAGTAACAACAACAGGCAGCAACTTGGAAGAAGTAATCTGAGAGCCGAGAACAGGAGCAAGTAAAGAAACGGCGCTAAGAATGGTCATGCGGTACAAGTAATGCGGGTTGTTGACCATTTCCAAGACCTGCGGGACAATATGCTGCATCGCCCAATCCGGACCAAACTCCTCCGCCAGTCTCTTCAAATTGTTAGCAGCAGCTTCTCTGATCGAATATACCTACTCCCAATCCCATCATCACATATTATTATATAACATAATAGCAAACATAATATAACTTTTTTTTTAATATTATTAGTTTGAGACTGAGTCAAACCTTGTCTTGTAACCATTGCATGCAAAGGGCACCGAGCTTATCATCAAAAAACCCAACACCCAACTGACTTGCTAACAGAGGTATGTATTCTATTATGGCCAATCGCACCCTCCAATGTCTGTCTTCAGCAAGTTCCACAATTGCTGGGAGTAATGATTGGGATAGAAGATCGATCCCAATCACCTGATTCACTTGATCTAGCTTGCTAATGATATTCAAACGTACATCTGGAAACTCGTCTTTTAGAAGTGATAGAAATATAGGGAGAAGTTGCTCGATAGTTGCATCCTGCGTTATTTTTACCATAACTTATTCATTTCCATTTTTCCAATCATCAACAATAGATTTTTTTTTTTAATTTAAGTAATTAAGTACTACCTTCCCTAAAACAGGAGCCATCCCCATTATAACAGAAGCCAAAGCAGATCTAACATGCTGAGAAGAATCTGAAGACAACTCCTACATATCATTATGAGGAAAAGTTAAGTTAGAATTTAGATAAACCAATTCTTTTAAGTTTTTTTTTTTTTAAATAAATAAATAAGACCTTGACACATGGAAGAATATGCTGAATAGCAAGTTCTGGACTAAGAATGCGGGAGAATTTGGTGACTTTTCCAGCAGCTGCAATACGTACTTCTGCTTCATTGTCTCTAAGTAGCCTCACATATGCTGGAACTAAATCCGTTCTATATTCACAATTCACAATTCATAACATAAATTCAGCCAATGATTATCTAAATAGAGAATTTATGTATTAAATTGAAAATTGAAAATATAGTTACTTGGTAGGTTCAGGGCCCACAGCTTCACATAGCTCATAAAGCTGATTAGCAACCATGTATCGAACACGCCATGACTTGTCCTAAATCCAACAAGACTTATCAGAAAAATAAATAAATTTCGTGAATTTATTTATTTTTACAAACAAAAAAAAAAGATAAAAAGTTAAACCTGAGAAAAATTGACAATGACAGGAAGAATATGTGCAACACAGTCTTGAGGTTCCAACAGCTTCCCAAGAGCAGCACAACCCTCCACAGCAAGCAAACGAACAGAATCTTGATCTGTGACATTTTTGTGAATTTTTAGGGTTTA